TGTGTGTGTGTAAATTGGTATGTGTGTGCGTGGGTGCGCGTGTGATTGTGTGTGCGTGGGTGCGCGTGTGATTGTGCCTGCGCATGCCCGTGTGTGTGTGAATGCGGTGTGTGCGTGCGCGCGCGCGTGTGTGCAAATATTTGACAACGGGAGGTGTAACCCTGCCCGCCGCCGTCCACTGACTTTCAAGAACATATATCTTCAAAACTACTCAATGCATTTTGCTTTTTTTTTTAATTTGACTTATTAATAATGCGTAGCAGAATATTTTCAAAAATAAAAATGGTTAAACCGCCTTCCTCAAATCATACCCTAATCAAACCCGTCTGGAGGACGGGTAATAGCTATAGTATATATATAATACTGCCACTACTGCTGCAGTAGAGCAGTAAGCACCAAGAAATTGGCTTGCAACGTGTGTCATTTCCCGAACCGTATGTCACGGAATGAACCGTATGTCCGTATGTAGGTGTCACGAAAATCAATGTCTAGTTTTGCAGCTAAAAACTGCGCAAATAACCAGCAGGCTGTGGAAATTACGAGCACGAACTGCGAGAGTGCATTAAACTGCATTTACTAATTATCTGTAGAGCATGAGTTGGCAAAATATACTCATATCTCTGTGAAATATCAGTGAGACAGCTTGCAGATCTATATGTCTGAAACCACAGCCAGCAATGAATGAATTCATTTTCAAGCATGTTGATTTCTACAACATGACCTATGGAGAAATCCATAAGAATAAGCCAGTCCTACTCATGAGTTACCAGTACGACCAGGCTGCTATTTCCAACACTGAATATAAGCGATAGATAAATGCGCAATTGTTCAGCAGCTGAGTGGCCGGCCACACACTGCGCAAATCATCCATCATGTTATCTTTCGTGACAGAGAGAGGCGTATGACTTCTAGTTCTAGTTAATACTCTTACTGGATAAACAAGGAGATTTCACACGAGAAACGTAAATTGCCATGTGCGGGATTACTGTCTGCAATTATACAAAAGCCCTCCTGGCACACTGAAGAGATGATTTAATCATGACACTTGACATTTCTGAATACAAGCAAGCAAACAAACGAGCACAAAAAATTGCAAACCTTCTTCTTCCACTTTTCTATGGCGTCGAACGAGTTTCGGTCTACAGTTGAAAATGTGAGTACACAAGCCTGCGCCCCTGTAATAGAAACACACCGCTGAAAAATTGTATGTAATATATTGTTTTATGTAAAATACAACCATAAATGTGACCAAAAAGATTACGCCAGCATCATTACCATCGCTCTCCAACGAGGACTGTGAGCATTTCTCTGCATTGGTCAGAATTAACAGTAACGTGACTGAATGCGCTGACTATTTCGCAATAAAATGTTTCAGTTTGTGTGACAAATTGCAAGCTCATTGCAAGCATTAAACATGATCAAACCAGTGCCGCATATGCTTCGATGGCCAAAAAAACTAGTTAGGCACACAGTGAATCCAATAATATCAAAGGAAATTATTAACACAAATGCAAATTTATACAGATTTTAGCGCTTCTCCAAAGTTCACAAAAGGCCAAGCACGAAAGTTTCACGTGCACCGAAACTTACTCTCATCAGATCTCATTTAAAAGGCAACTGTTTTAATGAAAATGACAACAGGTAGGAACAATGTATGACGGATATATTAATTCATAATCATAATTAACTAATTTATAATAACACCATTGTATAAGGCACAAAAATGTACCATCTTCAGCTGAAAGACAGACACACATTCTCTCACGACACGTGCCACACACTTGCCTATAATAACACATCACCCAGTATTTACTGTTATTATTTTAACGCATATATATATTCGCGATAAAGCCGTGATGACGGTACCTCTATAGTAAGCCTTCGTGATCGCATCAAACTCTTCCTGTCCCGCCGTGTCCCACAGCATCAGTCTAACGTCCTCACCATTTACTCTGCAAGCAGCAAGACAACAATTAACATCGTACTCATCTGCTCATTTCTGCTTCTCCTTCATCAGTAACCAAATGGAGGGAGTGCTAGGGTGAGAAGGAAGGGAGGGGGAGGGAGGGAACGGGCAGAGAGGCAGCCTGGGACAGTAACTAGACCCAAGATTCGCTCTATTTTGTTATTCGCTGAGCAAGGTATCTATCTGAAGCATGCGGCGATACATTTCTCCCATGCATCCCACTAGCCTCACGAGTATTCCATATATTTATCTCTTTATCAGCTAAATGCATTGCCCCGTACATGCACGCGCCGTGTTGGTAAGTGGCAAATTAAATTTTAGGAGCAAACAAGCTAGCTATAATGGCATTTAGTGACGGATGTATAAACGCAGAATGATTGCTTGAATACTCGTTTTGCGTTTTGCATTTACGATAAGCCGCCAAATTGAATGGCCGGAAATTGGCTCCTCAGAAGTGTGCAACCAAATAGTTAGTGGATGTTGGAAGACATTGCAATGCGGCTTCACTTTATTCCCAAGTAGCATTAGCATCAGCCTATAAATTTTCACTTCGCTGCACTCTACACTTATAAGCACACGTGCTCACACACAATTACGATGTGGCATGACTACGTTAAAGCTTTAAAAAATAAAAATAATCAGTCGCGGAATCACGCAAACATGTGTAAGGTCCGGAACACAATCAAGGGTAGTTTCCTCAGCCAAAATTAATTACGCAAAAATTGTGCTTAAACAACCGAATCTATTCTAGGGAATTATTCACAAGAAAATGCTGGCAACATGCACATCCACTATTTGTACGTACGTAACCTGATGGTTTTGCTCGCTAATCTGACCAGAATTCATCGCTCTATCGGCAACTTAATGGGTCCAATCATTTATACTACATACTATGATTCAGATTAAGTGCTTTATAAGTGTTCGCCTTGCAGACCTGAATGCGCAGCCATTCAGTTGTTCATTGTAAGAATGCGTGTTCACCTGCCCCAGTAGCACTGACATCAATTCACTGCTATATATAATACAAGTTTACTATGCAAACTTCCATCACAATAAGGATTTACGATAATCACGCCATTATAAATTTCCTAAAATTTACTTAGCTGGAATTCTGTGGGAGGGGGAAGGAGCATTCGGTTGGCAGGTGTACCGGGCATGTGCCACTGACAGGCAGATAATGGTAAAAAAATGACGTGAGAAATTCTTTAGGCACGTGAAGCAAGTTCCCTGTTGCCTAAGCTTGGCCATACTGGCGACATACTGGCGGGGGTGAGAGGATGGGACACACACACAGAGCACTGGGCAGAAGTGAGGAAATTAACTCGAGATACCAGGCTTATTTTTTAGGCTTGTTTTTAAATATCTGTTTTTAAAACTAACACGTAACACTTACACAACCCTTCGCGAAATTATTTTGAATATATAGCTTAAAATTTTTACCGAAACGAAATCACTAAAGATGTCAAACTCACAAGTACTGAAACTATTTTAAAAGTTTCTAGTCACCAACTTGCCAGCAAAATTTACATGTTTGGATTTTCTTAACAACAAGTTTGCCTTTGGTGCAATATATTACAGTTTTTACGACATGACCTATTGCTATCGGGATTACCCTGAAACGGCAACGCCACAGGGCAAAAGAATAGAACAATATCCTATTATTTTGCAATTTCTATGTTTAAAAGTGCAAAACACAAAGATAAATGTGTCGTTAAGAAAAGATTAAGGTTGAAACGGACACAAAGAATTAGGATTTTGCTGACGAGTTTTGGGACATAGTAACTTTCGAAATACGCTCATTTTTAGTATATTCAAGTTAGGCATGTATAGAAGAATTAGTGAGAAATACTATTTGTGGATTGAATAGAAATGGCTCTAGAGAAAATGCACTCTAACAGTGAAAAAAATACACGGGGGCTCGGGGCGATTTAGCCCCCGAAATGCCAAAAAGAGCCCCGGAAAGGCCCAAAAGAGCCCCAGTAAATTTGCATAGAGTTCAATGCAAACCAAATTTTAGAGTGCTGTTTTCATGCACGCGAGCTTGAAAAGTAGCCCCCGAAAAATTTATTTTAATTTTTTCCCTGCACTCTAATGCTAGTGAGCTCACGTGATCTGTCGCTCCAGGAAGTCCACCCCTATCGTCTTTTTGTATTCCTTTGTGAAGATTCCTTTACAGAACCTCTGGATCATCGACGACTTGCCGACAGCACCGTTGCCTACAATCACCACCTTAATGGCAGTCTCAATGTCTTCCTCTCGCATGATGGTCGCAGCAAAAGCAAACTACAGCTGATATCTCACACTGCTACTAGACAGGGAAGCTGCTAACGTGATGAGATGATGCTTCAGGCGGCTTTAGAGGCCACTGCTGACATAACGAGTATCACTTCACACGGTGGCGGATTCTTCAACACCTGCTTGTAGATTCCACTTCTAGTGATTTCTGGGTTGGTCAAATCTGTTTTAGTCCGAGCTATAGTGATGCCATGTCCATGGTGAATGCTATATTACCACGTCTCTGTGGAGTTCTTCTATGTAAACCCACGTCTATGTGAAGTTTTATATACCCACGTCTATGTGAAGTCCTATATGTAACCACGTCTGTGGAGAGCTCAGATCTGTACACATGATCACATAGCACCACTCATCTGCAGTGTCAGACTATGACCCTCTAGTACGGGTAAGCACACTTCTTCGTCCAGCACCTTGTGTTGTTGCTGTGTCACTGGCACCACACGATGCAAACGAGCTATAATACCAACGAAGAATTTGACCTGTCGGCTTCGCAGCGACTTGCAGCTCTGGATGTTTCCTCTTCTTGCGAACACTGACTTCTGAACCTGAAGAGCTAACACTGGCGTCTGTCGCCTTCCCCTACTCGCTATAACAGCATGGAGCTGACACTGACACAAGCCTGTGCTGTGCTGCTCACTGTGTAAATGTTTAAGTGTCTCTCACTGTGTGTGAAGATCAGCCGTTCAGCCTGCGTCGTACAGCCTGCCTTGAACCGTGCCGAGTTGATCACAAAGACAGCTTTGATCAGGTGTGCAGCGTGGCCAAAGTCAGAAGGTAATTGATGGCTGTCTTTGACACTCTAGGTAATACCTCCCAAACGTTCTGCCCTAGACTGCAGCTATTCGATTCCCCGGTCTGCATCGGCAGTGTTGCAATAGAATTGGTGTCCATCTATCAGCGGGTAGGTTGGGCCATCTATAACAAATGAAACACACGTGTTAAAAAATGTTTTTAAATAGCTAAATAGGTCATCAGTGGACCTGATTCTGTCACGATGGTGTGATTTTTTGTGTGAGAGAGTTCGAAGTTAGGGTGTGTAGATTGATAGATAAGTGTGTTTTTTTACACAAAGAGTGAGGAGTGGCATTTTCTGAACCCGTATTATTAGCAACCCAGATTGGTCATCCGACAGTAGGAATAAACGGTGGTAAGATAAAAGCAAATCCGCAGATTTCTTATGGTGAATTATAAATGTGGAATGTGGAAAACAATGAATGTGATTATCCACACTGCTGCCTGCATGTAGAACACGCATTAACACCTGGCTCGGTGCAATTGATGTTACTGATGGCTGAGACAATATCAGTTTTGGTAAGTTATATGTCTCAGTTACGTTATAATTATACATATACTTTAATGATATAGTCAATTATTTCTATAACAATATCAAACTCTACCCAAAAACAAGTCTGCCCACACTATCTGAACCAGGGCCAGAATTCATAAACATATATACAGACATTTATTTAATTAGAATTACTAAAAATAATTAATATATAAATTCCACAAATCAAAAAAAAAATCAAAGTGGCACAGAGAGAATGAAACAATAAGAAAAGTAATGAATTTCTGGTATTCATATATATAGGCTCTACCTATAGATAGTAGTGGTTTGTCTTGAAACCACATCGAGGTCTTGACAACTATTTACAATCTTATGTACACGAGTTTCTTACACACGCGACTCCGCTTATTCACAGACATGATACAGCCAGTAACAAGAGAAATCATGATCATATAGATTACTGATATTGACAGATGACGCAACCATGCAATCACTGGTAGCTAACATGCCTACGAAGCCCTGCTATCATCTATTGTGGGTGAATATAGCATAATATTTAGCAGTTATTACAGCAAAGCAACAGCAGCAACGAACTGATAACATCAGGAGCTAATAATGACAAATTGCCATTTTGCCACAATTGCCAATTGCCAAATTGCCACAAATGACAATAAGTCCTGATAACATCACAGCTCAGTATCATAGACATCTTTCGCATGCATTGTCCAATTCGTTTTTGGTCGATACGATCAATTTTGTCCACTTCCTTTTTGTGTAGCCATTGCAAGCAGCGTATCAGACATGGCTGGTATGCGTGTACATGGTGTAATAATGGTCTAATATTCACAACATAATACTTTCACTGAACTGCCTCCTAGAGGCCAGAAAGCCCAGGAGTGGGCGCAGCGTGGCTACGAACCTAATTTATTACCAGGAGTGAATAATAATCTATTATTATTAGATATATTAAATTATTATTAGATCTATTTTTAATCACTCATGATAAATTACTTTGTCAATTTTATTCCTAAAATTTACCTTAAACTCCTACACATCTGTATCAAAATGCTACTGGTCATAACGGCATTGCCTCTGCCATTCAGCTCGACATGATCGTTAGAAAATTACCACACACAAATTAGCACAAGTTTCCAGGCTTACAGCATCGCCTACAACAAACAATAACAACAACAGCTACCGCAACAGCAGCAACAACAAGAACAACAACAACAAAAACAACAACAGCAGCAGCAATAGTAACAGCACCAGCAACAGCAACAACAGCTGCAGCAGCAGCAAGGCTTTAGAATCAACGTATCGTAAGGGCTAGTATGTGTGATTTTTATCTCTAGTGTATGTGCTTTTATCACTCGTAGATATGTAATTGTTTATGCTATTAGATGAAAATGAAATATGAAAACGACGGTAGCACGGTAGCACTGTACCATTCTTCAGTGTCCAGCAAAGCGCAAACAGCGAGACGACAGAACCGCCCGTGAAACTGGTCTGGTTCAAGTGGCTGAGCAGTCAGTCAGTCAGCGCCGCAGCAGTAGCAGTAGCCGTAGATGGCAATGCTCTCTCCTCACGAGAGATTGCGATCTGCTACTGCTACTGCTGCTGCCAGGTTTTATCGCGGATTACCGGAGACCACTCGGCAACTCAATGACAGATGGGGGAAGATAGACGAGGTTCACGGTGTAATTTTACCACAAAAGAATGCGTTTTTAACAATAAAGCAAACGCCGCAGTGCTGCAGGTAAATGGGAAAGAACTACGGGACACTCACTATCACATGTGGCAGCCGCCCTCATTTCATGAAGCCAATATTGGTCACCAGCAATCATGTCACGCTAGCCGAACACCATGTCACCCTCTTCCTAATATATAATAATAATAATAATAGCAAATACAATAATATAAATAACAACATCAACTCTCTTCCTAAAAGCAACAAGAAACAGAATGGCAGACATTCGGCGTAAGTAGATCTATGCCAGCCCCACATATCGCTACTGCCAATCTCACACTTCCTCACGTGGCGTATCCGAGAAACAGACAATAATACCTTAATTCTCACCCACCCCCGAATACCCGCTGACGCCCCACCCCACCCCCTACGACCTGCTTAGACTCCACTGACCGTTAGACCATTCGAGGTTGGTGTATGCTGCGTGCGTGTGCCCCTCTTGTACACCCCACGTCCGCCCCCACGCTGTAGCTATCGCACTACCCCGCCTGATATTATCATATATCAGTAAGGTCTGCTGCCCGCAGGCAGAAGTCACGGTCACCGATACCACAATGCCCGCAGTCATTGTGCGAGCGCGGCAGGAATTTCCTTCAGGTTATAGCTGTGCCGAAGGTAAACAGTGCAACTGCCATGCGGCTCCATAACTAATATTCCTACCGATGGTTTGAAGGTGAAATAATTGATTACTGATCGCTGCTTTGTAGCCGGTCTGGCCAAAATTGGCACACAGATTCACACACTAGCCGTATAACATATATAGTGCTCACTGCGGCCTCCTCACACATACTGCCTTCATAATTGCACTCGCACTAAGTACTGCGTGACACAAAGCCAATTGATTCCTTGCTAGATACTATGAAAATATCGGATGCGATGTACAGCATGTACAGGAGTACTATTCACCTGCTACTAAATCGTACAGCGACGTGTTACGTGAATATATAGATGATATCAGAAGTAGATAATAGGAAATCCCTATTATCTACCTCTGGTGATATATAGGCGGCCTGAACAAAGCGAAATCCCTACGACATCATTAGGGGCAGCAGGCGAGTCCGTATATTCCACCTAGTAATACAGACTCAGCATAATTTTGTCATCCGTATACCTTACGCGTTACCATTACCTTACTAATACCGATTGCACACACAGCCGCGTGTGCTGTGGGGCCAACACAACGTATACGGCTCCATCATCCATCCACTCTGTTATTGCACGCCCTCTTATATGTGCCTTCCCGCTATTATATCCGCTCCCATCCGTCCTCTCCTTACCATGAGCCGTAAAAGGAAATCAACGTCACCTGAACCCATCCATAAACAGAGCTGCGCGTTTATTTCCTTTAAAAAGTTTACGTCGGAGGCTTCAGTGACTGCCTAGTGCCTGCCATTCCCATTTATCTCCACATAATCATTTCATACAATGACGACCAAACTATACGCATAGCTGGACAATCGACCGAAATTTAATTTGCCAACATTAATAGGCGACGTCATTAGAGGCCCCCGTCATAATAGGCAAATTAATAGGCAACATGCATTCGTAAAATTCCATTGTCAATCTGAAAGACTCGAACATATATACACTATATGACAACCTGTGTGTGGATATACAATGTAACATTATTCAAATATAAGAACCTGCGGCGCCAGCGCCTCCTACGTGCACCGTATGCTTGGTCTTCACATGCATACGCGAATACATACTGTACACAAACAAATACGTATAGTCAGGCGTGGATAATAAAGATCTAATACGAAACACCGCTAAGCAAAGGGTTGACTGTAAAAACTTAAGGTTACGGTAACAGTTATGCGCTAAAGGAAAGGCTCCGCGTGGAATTTCGGCCCTAGCACTGCCATGTTTTGCAGAAGCGCATGGGTCACACATAAAGGTACAGTACACGACGTTCTCAAACTCAGTAACACAAAGGCGAGGGACTCTGCATACCATTTCTTCCAGAAATCTCGTTATTTGCTCTGCTCCAAACTCGTTGCCTAGGGAAAGTCTGAAAAGATGAAGAGAGCCCCACACGTGTCTCAATCACGATCTGTCCGAACTAACAAGTCAGCTCAAGAAGAATTAAGGGCTTGACCTTGTGCTCGGAAATGACTAGAAAGTCAACAAAGCTCGATTCCTTAAGTAACGTGGGTGTATGTCAAACCCCCACAGGTAAGACAACACCTGGATAATTTTCTCTCCAGTGGTAGAGACACTGCGGTTATTGTCCGTAATGAAATCTCCCTCCACTTACAGATCTGCCCATGAAGTAACACTAACAGCATGGATAACACTACTCGCCTTACACACGCACTGTGTATGGCATACACACATACACCACCACTTTAATAATATTTTCCGCAAGAGAATGTGTCGTTATTCAAAGAGTTCTGTAAGATGCTATGTCTCAGAATCACTAAGAGTAAGAGTATACGTCTTAGAGGCTACATCTCCTATGTGGTCTTATGGGCTAAATAAAATGCAATATGTCCAAATAAGGACAGTATAACGATTATAGACAACCCGAGGCAGACGCGCGCACGCACGCAGGCATTTCTGCTTCCATGGCTTTCACATTATACTAATTATGTTCTCACTGCTCTGCTACTAGCATTGCTTACTGCATTGTTCATATTAGCCATTTTCTTCTGAAACATAAACATTATATTTGGGTAAACTCAAGCAACGCCGAGTCCGCGACAAGTATCTTATAAGCGCGTTATCAGTGATGTGCTAGTGCTAATGAATGACCTAGCACATACCTGAGCGCAGCAGTCACAGCCTGATGACCATGCTACCTGCTTCTCTCCGTGGAACCGCCATCCACTCACTCCCTTCGCAACATCTTGCAAAATAATCTGGTTTGTAAGCGGGTTTGCAAAATCACTTACACAAACGAGGTGCATACGCATGCCACTATTGCACCTGTAATCGTTAAATAGCACCAAAACATGCTAATATATTACCGAGGTCGTGCCATTTCCATGTAGCCGGCTACATTCCAACAGCTGTTGATTTATTACCTCTATAAACAGCTCCGTAGCGCAGCAACCTGTCCCGTTTATCGGAATCATCAACAGAACGTTTCATACGAACCACACCGCATCAACACGTGCTTTCTTATTGTCATTTACAAACAACCACTATCTATTATGTCGCAACGCCTATGTCGCAACGTCTAGTCGCAACTGTTAAACGCTCGTAACGGTAAAAACTCTGCGCCACCCAGGCACACGCCTAGACGCAACCCGGCTCAGCCTCCATTCGTACAGCTTTCGTCTCGGCGTATATCGTCACAACAAAGAGACTTATATAACTAATCGTGGGCAGCGTGGCCTATAAATACACTCAATGCGAGAAAAACATAGAAACGGCATTAGGAGCAGACGGTCGCTAACAACGGCGTAATAATACATTAGCTCCTACATGCGAGTGGGCGTCGCAGTTACCGATAGTACGCCGGGTTACCGATTTCCAGAAAGCGATACAAATTTGACTGGAGCGGCTGTGCGTGACATTTCAGCAGGCTACAGTTCTAGTTAATCGCATTTTTCACCGATTACGCAAGACCCCATATTTTACATAATTATCCTCAAGAATATTAATAAAATAATTATTAATAATTATTAATACATGTAATATTTAAAATAATGTATTATTAGCTCTTTGTTATAATATACAATCAACATGACAGGGCGATCGTGCGTGCGTGCGTGCGTGCGAGTCCGCGTACGCGTTGCTGGAGAGAGCCACTTCAAAAGCAACGTTTCTGCCAGTGTCTCAGTGAGTGTCTGCATGGCAAATATCAGATAATTACGTACGCTGTTGTGCGACCACTACAGGGATTCAGCTATCCGCCATGCCTCCCAACACATACACACGGACCAGCCAGCAGACCACTCTGACATCAAGTCTAACAGTTTAACCCACCAAGTTTGTCGCAGCAGACATCAAACGTTGAGACCACACGGACACCACACACGGGAGTTACCGCTAGTAGTAAATGAAATAAGTTCATTGGATTTCGTTGAAACTATGAATTCATAATTATCGTGCATTAAATCCAAGAAATTAGCTTACTATCTACTAACTAACTTACTAATACGCCTGCTGCCACCTATCCTGATGAAGATTTCCCGATAAGAGATCGAAAACTTCGATAGTAAGTTAATTTCTTGGATTTAACACAAGATAAATATGAATTCACCGCTAGCGGCTAGTAGTATAGCTTCTCTCTCACCGGGTTTTACAGTCGGTGGTATTCTGCTAGCTAGGTACGGCTATAAGCCGTGGCATCCACCTCTGTCGGCCTTCAGCCTTCACCAGTCTGCAAGAACGCGTCATTCTCCCTCCAAAAAAACTGGTTTGGAAAAGCACGCGTGGGTGCTGACATGCCGTGCATGTCCGAGCAGTAATACCCTGACCACCCACACTTCCCCCTCCCGTCGTATATCACAGAAATATCGAGATACATTCTCTTCACTCATCGAACACAAAGCTGGTGTCGAATTACCTAGTCCCCTCCCCCGCTCCATCATACCCCTCCTGCACGAACCCTTCTCCATCATACCCGGCCCTCCTCCACCCTTTCCTCCACCGACCCATTCCCACAACATCCCCTTTCTCCACCTGTGGGCATCGTCCTCTGTGGATAGCCTCTACCCTGTCGATATTGCCCACTGTAGGCAGCCCCTACCTTGTGGGCATCGTCCCGGGTGGGCAGTTTCTACCCTATGAACATCGTTCTCTGTGGACAGCTCCTTCCCTATGGGTAGCTTCCCTCTGTGGACAGCTCCTTCCCTATGGGTAGCTTCCCTCGATGGCATTGCCCGCTGGGGAAACTCATCACCCGGCACCTTCCCCCCACCCCACGTGTACCCGCTCCCATGTCAAAGCCCACCCACTCCCCAGCAATCTCAGCTGCTTGCAGAACAAACACTTTAATTTTTTCACTTCACACCCCCGAGTCGCCAACGTTTACGGCTCACACATAGCCGCCAGACACAACCATGAAGAGTTTCTTGCACTCTTTTACACAGGGCTAGTCAGTCATACGCATTCTCGTTGGCACATGCTTGCCGGGAGTTTTATTTTTTATTTCTGGAACGGAACAAGTTGAACTGGATTTGAAGTTGTTTTCGAAAACTAGACTTCTTGCTTTATGTAGCAGTGTGGGCAACTCTGCGCCTGTGTGCATTGTGTGGTGGCTTGGTGACACATAGGTGAAGCCTAGTTGTCATTGTGAAAACACGTGCACTGCCATCATGTGTTGCTCGTTTTATGTGCACTGCGAAACTAATTTTCTTTCGAAATATTAACGCACGAATATTTGCAAAACACATTTTGTGCTTTGAAATAACAACTCAGAGGGGTAGTGCTGTTATTTCACAAAATTATTTATAAATAATGGGAATATTACCATGAATACATTACAGTGGGAATTTCTGTAGTTCAGCAGGGCTGCCAATGGGATACGATTTACCGTCAGAGTACCTTTTATTCATCCCACAAACAACTAGAAATATCAGTCTCTCGCCTCCAGTGACCAGTTTCATGCTATAATTTACCTACGGGTCACCATAGAAGTGCCGTCACATGCACATCACGGGCGCATAATGAAGGGCACTGTAATACACGTACAACGCGGACGGACAGCGCTGAAATATCCTCGCATGTAGACACCTGCACCTGCTATATGCAGCCAATAAATTCATGCAATTGGAACACCTGTCATTTCCAAAGGCAGTCTGGAGAGGCATTCATACATTGTGATCGCGGCATATTTCATCACCAGGTAAGCCCAGAGCTGCTGACAGCTTTGGGTGTACCTGCATGTGCTCATGCAGACTGTGGTCCCAGAAGGATAGTCTCAGAGGGTTTCTCTTCGTAATACTGTGGTAATACCGGTATTGTAGTATGATGTATGTCCCTGCTCCCTCCCCCTTCCCCTACTATCGTAGCTCACCACGGTCAGCCCTACAACCAGGCTATTATGCCCGGCGCACACGGCGAGATCCGTGCCGAGCACGGAGCGTGAGTTTCATGCTCAGCACGAATCTCACCGTGTGCGTGGTCGATTTAGGTGAGTTTTCGGTCTCGCGATGCGGTGAGGCTGAAAACTAAGCGTGTGCGCGGTATGTAAGAATCCTGCTTACACTCCCTCAGTGGCGGCGCATGCGTATTTAGTTATTCCAAAATGGCTGCAGCCATCGAATTGGCGAATGATTCGTCAGTCAGATTTTTATCAGTCACATGACCTAGAGCGGCACCCGCTCGTAACATCTGTGCTCAGCATGAAGCTCACCGTTTGCGCGGGTGTGAGATTCGTGCTGAGCACGAAACTCACGCTCCGTGCTCAGCACGAATCTCACCGTGTGCGCCGGGCATTAGCTAGCAAGCTGTCTCAACGTCTTTTCGATGGCCTACTCTCATACTACATGGTCAATGCTACTGCCGACGGCTGCCAACGTCCATGAACCCATTTTAGTGAATAAATTTATGATAGACACGTTATTCATTTTGACTTCTACTTTACTCATGTTTAACTAACAAGTCTAATCATTTATAATCTGTGAATATCTAAATTATAACCCACATGCACCAGGACCCCTCTAACGGGAAGGCACCCTCGATTCTCGCGTCGCTAGGAAACAATTCCATTATTTGAGACACAGGCACTTGAAGCGTTCCAATAAAATATAATGCTAAATAAATACGAAATCTATTTACTACCAAAGTCTTAATGTTTCTCTACCCTCTTTCGCCTATTATATATTTTATTGAAATGCTCCAAGTGCCTGTGATTTGAGACTCCCCCTTTCTCAATCATAACTAATAGTAGTCTAATACCCTCTCTACCATAGATACCCTATATTACACCAGGAGTCTATCAATATATTGATAGACTCCTGATTGTCGTGTATATATATATAAATATCTATAAGCCCTACCCCAACACACGTCACGACGTCTGCTATATATACTAGCAATAGCAAAACTGACATCGTC